AATACCAAATGGTAATTATAAATATAAAAAAACTTTTGAAAATTTCTGAAATTTGACTACCAGGTATTTTCTTGAGAGTCCATATATACTAATTATAATAAATATATAAATAAAATTACATGTGTATTATATGATCTTGGCAATTAGTAAATAATTAATTGATAAATGTCGGTGTATGATTTTTAGACTTTTTGTCTTGAAACTAAATTCTGTTTTTAGCTAGACATTTAGATTTAGAATATTATTTGTTAAATACATTTTTTTTAAGCTAATAAGACTGAATTTTATTTTATATAATACATATAATAATAAACAATTGGCATAACTCAAATACATAAATCAAATAATCCAAACCAACCCACCACGTGTCAAAGATAATGTTACATAACAACTACGAACCAACTGGTACTAAATACGATTGATGAATTTTAACGGAATAGGTAGGTGCATCGGTCGTCGGGTAACGTGGCCTTCAAAAATTACTTCCATCAATTGTGACATTGCTCTTAATAATAAACACAAATTACAATTAAAGGTACTTACTGGTTACTACAATAAACACGTCATACATGTTATATAACACAATAGTTTTTTTTTTGAACTATTTTCTTTACTTATCCATCTTCATTAATAGTTATTTAAATTATTTTAAAATTAATTTTCTTTATACTTTATTACTTATTTAAGCAAGTGTTATTTTTGTTGATTATATAATACAATTAATTATTTTTATAAATAATAAAAATTTATTTTTTATAGAAAACTATTTATCTTTTACATAAAATTATTTAATTTTAAATAAATTTAAGTTATTCATTAAACCGTCGTTGCAAAATATTGAATAAATCCTAACGTATAATCTTATTTTAATTTTAATTTTAATTGGCTCTGGCTTTAATATTAATGATGTCAACCAAAACAATGGATCGATCTATTGAATATAAAAAATTAAGAAAACTATCAATAAAATATAAACAAGTAAAACTGAAGAATAAATTTTCTTAGCATCGCTAGAAAATAAAAACACCATAGTTACAACTAAACAATATGTTAAAATAATTCGTGGAAAACCATTTAAGTCTAGATTGTAAAACATCATGTCATGTAGAAATAAAAATATACAACTTGAAAGAAATATGTTACATTAGCTATTAAAGTAACGTATTCAATATAAATGACATACATGAAAAAATGTAGTATAGAATACCAAATATCATACTGATAATTGTTTTAAAAATTATTTGACTGATAAAATAGTCAAAAAGTAGGAAACCAGATAGAGACAGGTACCTACTCGAATATGTTAAACTATCATTTTTTTTCTTCAAAAGATTATATTATGATTTATTATTCACAGTTTTTTCGTACGTCTTTCTATACATCTTTCCAATTTGCTGAAATGTATTTATTTTTATTATTTTATCGTTTGACATGTACCTATTGGTCTACTATTGGTTTCCCTTTCATTAGACCAAGGGCATCGATAAGTTCTTCTCAGTCATTTACAAAAAGCTAATGATCCACGATATTTTAGTCTAAATGTTCATCCAAATAGCTGCAAATTTCAATGTCATCGACCCCACGACGTTTTAAATCAGCTCATTTGACTTTAGTTATAATTGTAAATATAATTTACTTTGTATAATTGAATAACTACTTTGTGTAACATAATTTTATACTGAAAAAATTATCATATTTATTTTTATTGTACTCAATTAAATTTAATATCTAGAACATTTATTATACGAACAATGTTATCTGATATACAAATATTAAAAACTGCATATCTATATACCTAAGTTTATATGATGTAATATCAAGAAAACTTTAAAAAACATTTGGATTTTGTTTTTATTCAAAGGCTTGGTTGAACCCCAAAGTTGAATACCATATAACCATATGGGTTTCAAGAAGAGTTTATAAAGGAAAATTGTATTGTTTAAATTTACATTTAGAAATTAGAAAGAGTCGCAGCTGTTGGGATAGGTTGTTGAGAATAATTCGTTCGGTATGGACATGATGAGTCCAGTTCAGTCGCCGGGTCAGATGGAAACCTAATAGCAATTTTTTGGTGTAACTGGGATGGGTGGATTATTCATATTTATGTTTGGAGAGTTTCTTAATCTTGCTATGAAAGTACAATGAGTTGAATTTGATTATTGTATCATAATTCCCCATTCTTTGAACCATGTACAATTATTTAAACTAAAATATTAACATTATTAGAATAAATGTTCAAATACTTTAATTTTTCATCTAAAATCTAATAATATAAAAATATAAAAATTTTACAATATATTTTCTATAAATAAATCCACGATAAGATAACGATAATTATAAATAATTTATACCAATAGCATCAAAGTTGTCTATTTATTATTTAAATTTAATTTTTTTATTGTTAGTTTACATTTTAAATGTATGTTAAATTGTTTATAAGGGTTTTTATTTTTATATGATATAAAACGTACATAATTATGTATTTTATATATACTATATGTTTTATACGTACGTATAATAGGTACTGGTTTTATACTAAATAGTAATACTTATATATAATACTTATACGTTTTCACCCTGGTAATATTATTATTCAATATTTTGAATAATATTTTACAATTACTAAGTATTTTATAGAACTGGTTATGTTTATATCAATGCCAAATGTTGTAATTTGTTTCAGAAGGTTTGTATTTTGACACAATAATCTTTAATATTAAATACAATATAATTTCTGTATTCATATTTAAAGCCAAATTATGGAAATAAATATAAATGTGTAATAGTGTTATATTTATTTTGAATTGTACCAGGGACTAAAATTGTGTGCAGTACGACACACTTTGTGCAATTCGAAATGTTAAGTGTGTAGTACAAAATTTAAAAACGTGTTGTGGTTCTATTCTTTATACTCACCTATTATGGTATTTAATTTTAATTTTACATTTTTTTTTATTCAATTATTTTACATATTTTTAAAATTTCAAGATGAACGAGTATCATCAGTAAAATCGAAAATACTAACTATTTTAACCGTGTTACTCATTACTGTTAACGTTTGAAAAGGGAGTATGACAAAATCTTTAAGTGTGCAGTACAAAAAAGAATATATTTTAGCCTCTGAATTGTACTTGCATTTATAATCTCAAAATTATGAACCATTTTAAATTAAATAAAACCTGGTTATGATCATTGATTTACATATGTATAGGTATGCTATTCTAAATATCACTACTGTGAATTAATATTAAAATAATTTCATAAGATAATAACAGTATTTCAATAATTTGATAATCGTTTTGATGAATCTGTTTTTTTTAGGCAGTATTGTCTATTATAAATAACTTTTTATTCATAACTATAAAATGTAGATATAAAAAAATCAGTTTCCATAACCATGAGGTTAGAGCTAACCTAACCTATTACTGCAAAAATATAAGATTGATGTCCAAAAATACTCAATTATTCATAACATTGCATGAGTATTATGTTAGATTGTTTTACATAATATTACATTCTAACTGATTTTAGTCCCTAAAAATTGAAAAATGTTTACATTCTTGAAAGTTAGAACTATTTAAATAATAATAATAAGTATGTTCAAAATTTCTGATTAAGCCAGTGAGGTTCTCACTAAAAATCAAACCCTTATCATAATTCTCCATAATATTTATGTAAAAACGTACTAAATAAGGATAAAATATTTATTGTAAACATAATAGAAAATAATTATTTTCACATTTGGGAAAATTTAAATTTAATATCATAAAATTAATTCAACTAAATTATGTATGTTTTAAATACCTGGAATATGGACGAAGCCACAAACGACAATAACGTAACGAAGAAAGTGGTAATTATATCAAAGGTAGCACGTGTCACTAAATGATATTATTTTACTTTATTTTTAATTAATATTTAATTGATTAGTCGGCATTAAATTGAGTAATAAACCAAATATAATAATAATTATGTAATTAAATTAACGGCTTATTACTTCTTGATATATTCTATGCATTATTTATTTTAAATAAAATATTTAAATCACCGAATTTTAAGCTCGACTTAACTGTTTATTCTAGGTGGGAAATCTTGAATATATATATATATATATATATATATAAATGAACAGTGAAAATCAAGTTATCAAGATTTATTAAAACTATAATGTAACTAATAACTGAATAAATTTATTTTAAATTGCATGTGAACTATTTTTATTATACGTCATTATTAAATAACGATAATAATAATAATAATAATAATAATAACAATAATAAATTGTATTATTGTTATTCAATTAATATTTTTATTTCCTAATAAATGTTAATAGTAGTGTCTTATTGTTTTATTTTTCATTTAATTAATTTTTAACATTTTTAAGAGAACATTTTTATGTCTCATTATTCACATACGAATAAAACTCAATAGTTTTCGATAAAAGAAATGTTAAAAGTCTTAAAAGAAATATTTAATTGTACAACGTAGATATAATAATGAGAAAATACTATTTGTGAATGATATTCTTGTAGAGGTTAGTATAGTTTAGCAAAAAATAAATGTACAGTGTCATCAAAATCATTTCTGGCTACGGCACTAAATTTATAAGAGGTATGGAATTCTGGGCTAAATCGGTACTACCGTGTATTAGAAATTATATTTCAAAAACATACGAATATCAAACTTTTGGCATCGTACCAGTAAATAATGTACTGTACTCAAAATTACGTGATTGTGTGTGCGCACACGCGATATGCACGGGCCTTTTGATTGCTTCGAAAATCCTTACACGCCTGCACTAATGTATTTTTCCATAATGATAGCCGATGAATACCCATCCCCGTCCCGCCCCCTATACGTAAATACAAAATACGGATCGTGTATATATATGTATATTTGATGTACATTTACACGTACACTGTACTGCACAACGTATCGATTAACATAATACATATTATTTTATGAAAGCGTTCGTGCCAACGGCGGCTGCGACGACGTACCTTTGTATCCCTGGAACTGGACTGTATGAAGTATACTACCACGAACATCCACGACGTCAGGAAAATCAATAGCACCTTGACTTTCCTTCGCATTTTGCCGGCCCCCATCGTGCGCACGCGGCCTTTGACCGTTGAGGAGCGCGTCGCCGCGTTTAGCACACCACCATCAAACGCGCGGAGCTGCCGTCACGTCGGACAACGCGGGACCGACGACTGCGGGACGGGTGTCTTTTCGCGAGTAATCGACCACGGCAACCGCGCTGTACGACGTGCCGCTACGCAACCATCGTTTCGCGACGTGCACAACAACGTAATAATATCGTCTGTCCGCGATAACAACTCGGTAATACGGGTGGAGATCGGACTGCCAGGGGCGCCGCGGTACCGAAGCGACGAAACGTTCGAACAAGTCCCCGGGTGGACGTGTTTAAAATAATTATTGTTCGCGGTTGCTGGTGGGCACGCGATAGCGGACGAACGTTACGAAGCACGGAGACGTATCGAGCTGACGCGACGGAGCACACGCGCCGACCGTGATCGAATGCTGACTGCCGGACTGTGCTACTACACCGTCGCCGTGGAACTGCTGCTGGAGGCCCGTCGCCGCGGTCGTCTGAGCAGCAGCAGCTGATCGCGAGTAGAGTAGTAGAGCAGGATACGTGTTTGGCGCTCGTGTACCGCGCCACTACCACGATATACAACAACAATAACAATAATAATAATAATAATAATATATCCATCACAGTGGTTGCGCGCCGCTTTTTAACGATCGCGAGAAAAAAATTAAAATAAATAAAAAATATACACTCTATTGTACAACACTCATCTGAACGCGGCTCGGCGTGTTATTTATTCGCCGCCTAAACGTCTCGGTGCCGTAATTATGTATCGTCAAACCGTGACGAATATTTTAATACACCAACAGCGACCACGATCGCGTACCAAAGCGGTTAATATATTTTTAATTATTAATACTATTATCATTATTATTATTTGGACCGTGAAATACGTTCGCTTTACCGGAATGCAACGGATGAATCAGCTGGTCTGGTGCGCGGCAGTAACTACTATACTTGCGTATCGACATGTTGTACACATACAGGGATGAGCACCGCTGAATAAACGGAATGTTTTTTTGGCCTTTGCGGATTCAAACCATTCAACTCTATATTATAATCTATACACATATATTATACTTATATGTCTCATACCGAATTCAATGAACTGTCTAATACTACTAGTGCAAACGCAAGGAACAATTACAATTAACTAGCCAATTTTTCACGAATTTAATTGTGTAGGTAATTTGAAATGTCATTTGAGTACATTTAAAACATCATGAGCCTGCACAAACAGTTTTTAAAACATGTTCTGGGGAGATCCTTAGAAATTATCTTGTAATATATTAAGACACAAAAATGTTTAACCCGTTAATAATAATTTATTGCTTAAAATTGAATTATTCCATTTAATATCTTATATTCTTAAATTGAATTCTTATAAACGAAAAAAAACATAACAACATTTTAAACTCCAGTGTCCCAAACGAGTGTCACATATTATAGCCTAAACTCTGGACCTGGGGGAGACCCAGACCCCCTGGACCCATTCCCATATAATTACTACTGTGTACTAATATACATAATTACTAATATTTTATGTTATTTTTCGGTTTTATTCCTTTTCGCCCAACGTCGTCCATTTTTTGTCGCTTTTCAATTTACAATTTCTAAACAATATTATAAATTTTATAAAATTGTTTACAAATGTATGTAATATATAATACATATTATTCTATAATCGATGACAATCAATTGCTTAAATAAGTGATACAATTATAGTACTTAGTTTCAACATTTTCATTGAGAATACCTTATTGTGAAATATTTTGGCATATTACTATACTATATTTTTAAAAAACTAGTTGTTAACAACATACAGTTTAAAATTAAAAGAATTTAGTTTGTAATATAATGTGTAACCTTCAAAATCAAATTGCATACAAAGTAATATGTTATATTATGAAATTGAATATTACATTTTCAAATATAAAACAAACCAAAAAATCCTAACTTTGTCGCACTCCTGTTAATATATATCTACATAATATCGATAGATTTAATTAATATAAGCTATAGGTAACGCCTAACACGTATACCTAAGTATTTATTAATTACCAAATAATGAAAATGCATTAGTAAAACATTCATTTTCGGTCATTCTTCACATTCTTACATTTACTTTGTTAGATATGATTATGATTTTAAATACGCTACAATAATTTTTTAAAGGTAGGTAAGTGTTATTTTAAATAAACAAATACCTTTTTTAATGGCATATACAAGATTTTTCAACTATGAAGGGGCACGGAGCGATTACACCACTTAGCATTTTTTATGTAGTGCGTAGAACTACATTAATTTACAAAAAAATGTTAAATATCGCCATTTATTATAAATACTAGTATTTATAATCAATGCTATCAACATCTTATGTTCTTATTTCATTCCTTTAACAAAATACTCAAAAGCGCAAATTGGGAGGCTTGGGTGTGCTTAGCACTCCCATTTTCGAAATTAGTACCCCCAAATGTGTTAATGTTAATTTACATTTAAATACTCTTTACTGATTACATATAAAAAAAACAGAGTTTTTATTGTATAAATATATAAATTTATTATTTAAATAATGATGGTGGAAGTTCGTCCTTCGTCTCTTTGATCCTTGAACTGGATAATAGTAATAAGTAGGATTACCAGATTTTGAAATCCTTAAACCTAAACTATCATATTGAATGACTTTTTTTTTTTTTTTTTTTTTTTGATATGAAAACAAAATAAGTATATAATTTTGTAATTTAATGACTAATACAGAAATACATTATTACTATATATAACCATACCGATTAGATTACCATAATATTATAATATTATGTAAAATATTATTCTATGTTTTATTATTACAGTAGAACCCCTCTCATCCGCCATCGGCTAGTAGGCCACTCCGGTTGATCCGACCATAGTATTATCGAATTATTATGAATTTTCCAATTTATAGTATGTGGCTAAATATATTTATAAAATTAATTGCTCGTTTAATATTCATCTATTTTTTATTTATTTTATTATTTTATTATTTATTTAATTTTATATATGTATGTAATTAAAAATAATATTTAAAATAATTTGATAAATAAATTTGGTAACATTTAGTCTTCAAATGTTTCTTTATATTCTAATAATCCGACCTTCATCAATCACACCCCCAATTCCAAAGATGACGGATTAGAGGGGTTCTACTGTAAATTATATAATATTAAATGTTATTTTCTCTCAGCTTCTATTAACCGGAATAAACTAAATGATCGGCCGGAATACCGGAACGAATGGCAAGCCTAGTAGTAAATATACTGAGTTTAAAAAAGTTATATGTCATTTCTTTATCAAATCGATTCTGAAAAAAAGTTCAGTATAAAAATCAATCATTTATAAGTATATTTTACCATTTTTAGTCTAATTATCGGTAGGTTCTCTTTTTTATCAACCTGTTTAACATTTTATTGTTTGATGAAGAAAAAAATTATTTTTTTAACCAAATATTTATCTGTATTCAAAGTTTCATAATGATTGGATAAACCAAATTTTTTTAATAAATATTTAATGTTAAAAATGTATGTAAAAACAGTAAAATCTGTAAATATCGCACGTATAATAATTTACTTAAACGCTTATGAATTGCTAATAAATGTCAGATTAACGATTTTTAAAAATTTTTCTGTATCGATAAATAAGTAAGTACTCGTATATGAGTAAGGTGATATTATATTTTCAAATAAAAATGTTATTACATAAAGACTCATATACATAGTATGTAGTATAAGTTCTATATTTAAATCAAAAATGATTTTTGAAAATGTTATCAAATACGAAAAAAAATATCTTTGAAACAGGGTAAAAATTACAAGTTTCTAGTCACATTACTTTTGGAATTATGACTAAATAACTTAAATATGAAAAGTGAAAGTCTTATTTACAGCATATTTTTACCGTTTCAGGACAGTTTTTTTCCTCACGCTTGGAAAAACTATTAAGATTTAAAAAATGATCTATCTAAAGTACCACCACATGCCAATTTAAATCTAAAAAGTTCCAAGAAAAAAACTTTTGGACCAGTATTTCTATCCGAAAAAGTGTTAAAAAAATAAAATACAAACATCATTATAAAACAATAATATCCTTTGCTTCACTCAGAATCTAAAGTGATCATGTGGTGAAACATTTGTGTTTACAGATGGGCAATTCGTTATACGCGTAATAAAAATATATAATCAAAGTGAACAATTTAAATTTAGAAATATTCAAATATTTACCAAATATTTTAGTAACTGTTGAATTGTACGGGTTGCGAGTGTTTATAACCATTAAGAACATAAAAAAGATAGAAGGGCTTCAGCACCCCCAGTTTTTTCATTGAAATTGTGCCCCTAAAATACCACTAAAGAAATTAAGCTGGAAGCAAGGTTGGGCACTTTTACAGCAATTGAATTACTTTAATTAAATTACTTAAATAATTTGTAATTGGTATTTGCAAACATACTTTTGAAGTAATATGAAATTTGTAATTAATTACCTTAAATGTTTGTAGTAAATAACTGAAAATTCCTGAAATTACTTTTTTTTACAAAAAATGAAATTAGCCGGAAATTTCAGTAATAATAAGTACAATTTGCAATAAAATATTACAAAATAAGTACATAATAATGTAGGAATAATGATAAGTGCATAATTAATAAATATAAATAAAGTTGTTAGTTTTTAAAATTAAATTACCAAGTTTTATCTTCTTTGTTTTGTTTTTTCGAATTTAGAAATAATATCGTCAACATTTTGTGTATATTCTTGTGAATATTGAGCAAAGTGAAACCGGTGATGCGTTTCTCTCCCATGTTTGAACGAAGCCATGTTTTAAGGGGATTAGAGCATAGTATGTTTTAAGGAGTTATTTTTAGATATTAGACGTAGCAAGTCTATGGTATAATACGAGTATGTAGACACATGGGTAACGTTTAATTATTAAATTAATTAACTGACAATAATCTTATCTAAAATAAGTTATCTTTCCGTCGAAGGTCGAACATTTCCACATATTTACTATTATATTTAATAAATATAATATATTAAAAAAATAAAATATTATTTATATTTACTCGCCAACAATTTTATATCGGTAAAAAGTATATAATCGCTATTAATATTCTTAGAAGTTGGATAACCATTATGATTTTATAAACAAATGGTGATGTAGTTTAAATGCAAATAAATATAATATGTTGTATAACATTTTTATTGCAAGAAAAAATCTAATCGAAAAAAAAATTAAAAACGTAATTTATGCATAGTTAAGTTTTTTAAATAAACGAAGGACCTAATATTAATGTTTTTTTAGGGGGAGGGGTTATGATCCCCATGACCACCCCCCTTGGATTCGTGCATGACGGCAATCAAGGTTTGTTAGTTTATATATCTAAAAAATCAACAGAATTAGTTTTATTCGAAATTAAATTATTAAGAAAAAAAATTGGTACCAGTGTAGCGTGCGTCCACCAGCCTGT